GCATACTGGGGGTTCGGCGCCATGGCCGTAGTCTTGTCCGCCTGCGCGGCTTCCACCATCTTGGGCGGAGTTGCGTCGCTGTTGTCCAGTAGACCCGTCACCTGCGCGCCTCGCAGGGCTGGGAGGACTTGTGCCTTCCATAGGATGAAGTTTCCTCTCGCAAGCTTCTCCGTCGGTGGCGACCCGAGGTTGAGGGAGGCGGACAAGGAGGAAGACATGGCGACGGCGGCGGCGGTTGTGGTTTGTGATTTTGTTGTGGCTAGATGTATTTGGAAGAGGTGGCTCTGATACCATGTTAAATTAGGAAGCGTTCCTACTCCTCGATGAGGAGCCGCATTTGATTTATATTGATGTGTGGCAAATAGCCATGCCTTGGCGTACAAGACGAGAGACCCATCGTATGAGATCAGGTCGGTACAGAGGATAACTACGAGAAAGAGAAAGAGAGGATATGTTGGTTGAGATTACAAAGTGGAGATAAGGAAAACTTAAACATAACTTTCTAACACCGGGTACGTACAGCTCCAGTCCAACCACACACAAATTATTTTCGGGAAATGTTTGGTACACCATATATTATTGTGATCGACTTTGGGTGATCACCAGCTCAAAGTTTACACGGGTCGATACGTACATATCCAGGATAGATAGATAGATAGATTGATAGATATATGAATCTATTCGACGTACGTAGCAATGTAGCATTTGCCCTAGCTTCCACTTGCTGACAGCAGCTCTTCGTTCTTCATTTTTATTATTTGATGGGATGGTGAAAGCTCTTGTTAACGACAAGCACACGGAACAAACTAAAATTACATGTCGGATTGAATAATAATTTCCGGTACGTATCTAAGTCTCACGTCTGCATCACGCATGCGTAATTCAGTTAAGATGACAAAAGTTGCAGATATTTTCTTCCTTTTGAAGTTTTGAGTAGTTATATATTTAGCTAACCGATCGATGGATCGATGTCACGTACGCATGCGTGCGTGCGGGCTGCAGTTGAAGCCATTACTTTGTAATTTTGTATGCACCGTCATGTCTCGTAAATAGCAATATTTATCTGACAAGTGTCCGGTGTTATGCTAGTACTAGTATAGTATATGTGCATCGATGCAAGCAGCTAGGCCAAGCCAAGCGTGCCCGGATTAGAATATGGAAGTTGCTATTTGCTAATGGCTTGTGACGGCAATAGATCGCTTTGCCTAGTTAACTGTGGCCATCATTCCCTCAAGTGTCGAGCGTACACTGGCACTCATCTATTAGAAAAGAAGATGCACAAGCTTTTGAACCAAGTTGGAGCTAGCGTGACCGATTTAGCTGATTGGTAAAGTATATAGTCTAGATTATCCTTCTGAGGGCATTATTTAGAAGAAGAAGAAAACTGGCTAAAGGTTTGCGATATTTCACTATCAAGGGCAAGCGGTTTAAGTACAGGCAAGCGTTGCTTCTTTCTTAATGTGGGAGAAGATAGTGGTAGGCATAGTGAGCCTGTTCCGGAAGATCCTAGCATTACGCTCGTTTCAAATTTTTTGAATATACCAGCACAAGGATTGAAGCGGTGGATTTAGAAAGGTAGCATTGCGGTCAGAGAGACTGCCTCCCACCATCAAAGATAGAGTCGAAGCGCTGCCAGGAAGTGGGGTTGAGGCCATGCCAACCGAGCCAAAGTTTGATCATATTCCAAATCCGCACAGAGAAACAGCATTTGAACCACTCAAAGACAGAATCGACGCACTACCAAGAAGCAGGGTTAAGGTCATGCCAACCAGGCCAAAGTTTGATCATGTTCCAAATCCGCACAGAGAAGCTGACACTTGAAAATAAGGCGAGACGCGGTCTTGGAATCACGCTTGAAAAGTTGATAGGCCCCATAATTTGGCCATCCTTGTCTCTTTCTAGTTGTGCTGATCCCCTATAGTATTGGTAGTTGTTTACTTTACCAGTAATTAGAGCATCTATAATTGGACTTGATAAATTCGATCCCTCAAACGCCTGCGGACGCGACCGGGTGCGTCCGCGGACAGTGACCGGTCACGTCTCAAACTAGCTACTCTGCATCTGAGTCTCTCATATTTCAACCCTTAAATCCATGCAAAGCATGCAAAAGAAATCCTATGCACTACCCTAGCTAAGCTTTACCGTCGGAGCTGACCATGTCGTGGGTGCCGAGCACCGGGTGGATGGGCGTGTGTGAGGGCTCCGGCTCCTTCTCCTGCTCGGCCACATCCATATAGGCGAGCATCTCCTCCTCCTCCGCGGCATGCTGCGCCTTCATCTTCTGTCGGCGACAGCGTCTGGCCTTCGCATCCGACTATGAGCGGAGGAAATCGAGGATGGTCTGCTGCTCCGCTTGCAGATCCACGTCCCTAGCGTCCCCCACATGCTCCTCAACCTCCTTCTCCTCCGGATCTACTGCATCCGAAGGTAGCCCCACGGAGTTCCGGGCTTCGCGCCTTGCCCGGATCTGCTTAAGGAGTTGCTGCGGCCGCTCCAACGTTAGAAATGGATAGCCCCTTATCCAGCGACGTGTGGGCATGAGTACTAGTGGTGGCGGACGGGGGAGGTGCCGATGGTCGGCTTAAATAGCCGGGCTAGGCACTACGTGGCCCGGCGGAGCGACGACACACGGCGACATCGGTTCGACGGAGGAAACAAACTTCGGACCGCCGAGTTTCTAGGTGATTCCACGTGGGACCCCGACATTAGTCCGACGTGGTGGACGTGTCCGGGCGCTCTCATATCCACCTTATGTTTGGGATGGATATAAGGGGTGCCAGTTAGCCTAGGCGTTTGGGGTCTGTTTGAAGCGCCCGCCTGGATCGAATTTTCATGACCGGTCAGTGACCGGGCGGCCCGTCCAAACATATGATACGGGTTTAGGGCGCCTGGTTACAAGTATATAAAATGAGAGGCTAAGACTCCGGTCGGAAATGATTGGCCACTTAGTTAAGCATACCAAAAACGCCTATCAACGACAGCTCGTACCTACTCCCTCCGTAAACTAATATAAGAGCGTTTAGATCACTACTTTAGTATTCTAAACGCTCTTATATTACTTTATGGAGGGAGTACATGTTTGTTTATTTTGGAAGACGAATTATCCAGTCAAGAACACCATTGACTCTCCACAGAAGAAGAAAAGACATGGAAAGATAAGCGCGCATTATAAAACAGAGGAGTGCCAACTGGAAGAAGAAGATTGATGGAACTGGTCAACCATATATGATCCGGATGAGGCCGGCCGGTCTTAGTATAAGTGGTTGAGTCGGGCCAGTGGGGGCAGCCGTCATCTGGATGCGTTGGCATGTCCCTGGGGAAGGCTGGCTCCATCTCGGAACATCACACAATGCGCACAAAGTTAAGCCGGCGATCAGTGGGTAGGAGGAGCACTCAGCACTGCCGTCTACTAGTAGTGGACAGTAGACACTCATGCGCTGTGCTGCCTCTTGTGCTTGGACCCGTGTTCTCTCCAGGCAATTGATTTTGTGATCCGTAGCCACCCGCTTTATCATCGGCTCCCTTTGTCGTCTCTGTTCCAGAAAGAAAAGGTACTATATATCTCTAGGGGGGCTTGATCGGAGCAGATAACTCTCGAGTCTCTGTAGGGGTGCTCGCTTGATGACCTGCACTGCAGCAACTCTGGTGGTAAGCAGAATTCAGTAACCTTTATCGTGGCGATAGAGCCAGGAATGCATTGCTACGAGCTTCTCTGTCTCCAATCTACATTCAGAACGTTCAGTTTTCTTGCTCGCCTTCGTTTTCATTGAGACAAATCCATAGATTATCTTGCCCACGTCCTTCTCTTAAAATTCCGTAATTACCTAACCGGACATAGCAAATATGAGTTACAAATAGGAGCTCAAAACTCACAGCCTCGTAAAACTTGGGATTGCTTTTTAAAGAATTCTTCAAAACTCACAGCCTCGTAAAACTCCGTAATCACCTAACCATGTTTACTCAATTACTCTTACCAAGATCCCTACAGGTTCCTAAATGGCATTTCTTCCCTGTCAACCATTCACAATAAAACAACATTCAGTATTTTACTGGACTAGTAGTTCAACCCTAGTCCTGGCCATGGGCAGCCCGGCCCGGCCCGGCCTGACCTTGTCCATGGGCCGGGCTCGGGCCTAGGTTTTGAGCCCGAAGCCCGGGCCGGTTGATTTCGCCATTTAAGGAAGAGGCCCGGCCCGTGGCCCGAGGCCCGACGGGCTTTTAGTGTGATGGGCCGGGCTCGGGCCCGATTTTTAGGCCCGACGGCCGGGCCGGGCTCGGGCCTGGATTTTTTGCGTCGGGCTTTGGTTGGCCCGGCCCGAGGAATGGCCAGGTATAACTCAACCCTCACTCACCTTCAAGATTCTGGTCAAGGTAATACGCGTCTAATTTTTTTTAGTACTTGTAGTAATAAATACGATAAAGGAAGCTGTTGTGGTTTTTTCACGGAAGATGTCCTCGTCAAAGGACTAAGTCTTGAGGCCATCGCAATTATGTGATAGCTTGAACGGGATTGATCGGAAAAGGAAGGACACGAGTTTACCCAGGTTCAACTCCTCACAGTGGATGATGATGATCCCGATTACAAGAATTCGCTTTCGCTACCTGGCTTTCGAGAGGTTGTAATTTAGTCTTTGGGTCCTAGGAACTCCCCTTTATATAACATGTTGAGTCCCTAGTTTTACAGAAACATCCGGGTCGTACTCCTAACGCGTATCCTACTTTATCTCATATTGATCGTGCTCTTCAAGTTTAGGAAAGCCTCTCATGGGCCTCTTCGTGAGTTGTCCCATAGGGCCCATGTGAGAGCGGGCACCTTCGGGGCCGGGTCTCGATCTGGGCCTTCTGTCTTTCTTCTTTTTGGCTTCACCATGACCCGAAAGTGACGTGACTACCAGAGCCTACAGGATTGGTTCTTTAAGAACCCCTATGTCCACACATAATTGGTTCTTTAAGAACAAACGGGCTATACCAAATGTTTGTGCAGATCCGACGAGGACTAATCATGAGAATCCATAACTGCGTCGAGTCGTTCTTGACTGGCTAGCAAGCACCAGTGGAATTTAACCGCCTTGTGGTCGGGACACAACCTTAGTCCACCTGTCGACTTGCAGCAGCCTATTGATGTGAGCAGTTCTCTGGATGTAAGCTTCACACCAAACATACACAGGCTTCAGATCAGGCATCCTGACTGTTGGGACTATGCATGAACTCCGAGAAATCATGAATATTCAAGCCTAATAATTAAGAGTACTTG